GAGAGAAAGAAAGAAAGAGAGAAAGAAAGAGAGAAAGAAAGAAAGAAAAGAAAGAAAGAAAGAAAGAAAGAAAGAAAGAAAGAAAGAAAGAAAGAAAGAAAGAAAGAAAGAAAGAAAGAAAGAAAGAAAGAAAGAAAGAAAGAAAGAAAGAAAGAAAGAAAGAAAGAAAGAAAGAAAGAAAGAAAGAAAGAAAGAAAGAAAGAAAGAAAGAAAGAAATTGATTTTATTTACTTTTTAAATAAGTTTTCAACCAGACCTTACGGTGAGGAGAGTAAGCATGAGGTAAGGCTCCCAGAAAAATCTACCATAATTAAAGGAAAAAAGGAACACCAATGCCTCAGCCCTGAAGCAGACAAATTGGAAAGTTTTTCTTCTTGAAGAAGTCAGTTCTTGCTGCCATGTGTGTTTTTGTGGAAATACCAAAGTCCAAGGACCTGCCTCTATGTACACTATACAATCCTGTAAAAATCTGTTTAAAAAGTCTTTAAACTCCATTGCTTTTTATGTATTTCAAATGAGGAAGTTATGCTATTTAAAATAACAATGGGATGATTAGTGTATTACTGATCTCTTGGAATAAAACTCACTTGTTCCATGATCTCACTATACAAGCTTCGAATTTTCCCTTTCTATCAGAAAGAATAGTACCCACTGTGCAATAATTTCCCTATATCTACTACTTTTCTTGATGTTCTACCTGTGGCTTAATTTGGACCTTAATGCTGAGATACTAGGAAGAAAAAAAAAACGTTGTGAACATTCCAATCTTACTAATAACAAAAGTACCAAAAGCCTTGAATCAAAGTGTTACTTTATATGCCACCAATTTCCCAGTAGCCCTATTTCTCAATCAGAATTTGAATAATCTTTACAATTTGTATTCCCCAAAACTCAAATTTAATGAGTTAGTAGGTATAGAAAGAGAAATAACAGCTGCAGCTTATCCCGCTGTGCTATTCAGTAATGACAATGTTATACCACATTAGCAATTGTGACATTAATAAAAAGAAGCCCATAGGATTAGCCAGAGACAGCTGACTTTAGTCAAATGTAGGTCATGCTTTGTTTGCTCAGAGCTGGGTAATAAATTTCCAGGTAAGTGCTCTCATGTGTCATACATATATGCCAGGAGCATAATTTCGGCTATACTAAATGATCCACATTCTTAAATTTCTGTAAGCCCTTCTTGAATTATTGTTAAGCATTTAATTCCACAGCAGCATCTTACAGGCTACTTAGAGTTATTAACTCATATGACATTATGGCATGTTTTCTTTCTAGTGGCAGTTAATAGCATCTTGATCTGCTTTCCCTTTCACCTTAAGGTAACTGCAACTCTGAATTGCCAGTATTTAACAAAAGATACTTAGCAAGGAATCAAACTGACTACATTCTGCAGCTCTAGCTAAAGGGGAAAACAGTATTTGGAATCAATCCAAGCAGCAGCAAGATATCTTCCACCGCAGAAGGGAGGCTTTAAAAAATACTTAAAGGAAATAAAAGCATAGCCCTCAATTAATAGTACAAAAGATCCTATCTCAATCTCTGCTACTTTGGCAAGCCCTCAAAATTTGGATTGAAAGCAGACTTTTAAACATATTCATATTTAATCTCAGCACAAGATGTGCATATTGTACACCAAAACCTTAAAGGCCAAATCCTGTGTTCAGTAATACCCTGGCAGACTTCAGTGCAAAAGGGTGAGAGCATTACAGCAGAGGCTGACCTTCAGGTTGTAATCTCACTTTCACGTTTTTTCTTTTTTAAATATTATGGTAATAATGAGAGGCACCAAACAAGACCAGGAGCTTTTTGTACAAGGCATCATCCTGAGATGCAGAGCAGGGAAGGGAACTCTAGTTAAGAAGAGCTCAAATCATACCTTTTTACAGATGGGAGACTGATCCACAGGAAGACTAAATGACAGAGCACCCAAGCCTCTTGTCTAGGGGTTGCCATGGCTTCAGTCAGCCATTGTCCCTAATTTTAGGGGCACCATGCTCTCTCTCACAGTCTGGGTGTCACAGGGACTGGCTCAGTCGTGTCTGTCTCAGGTGAACTGGTACAAGTTCCATTTAGGGGGATCCATGGCTGTGCCTTAGCTCACGTATCAAGGTAGTGCCTTGTCACCTTATTTATATTTAATTAGTCCAATCGTTTCTGAGCAACAGTAGTTAATGCTTTGACTCTCTTCTATTTTTACCCATGTCTTTGCTAAAAATGTATTTACACATCAGCCAGTCTTTGGGGGTTTCTGAAGCATGTCAAGGGGAAGAGCTGACATAGCTACAATTCAGTTGATTTTTGTTTGGTTGTTTTAATGCCATATATTCTTGAAATAGAAAAGAAAGACCAGGTAAATCGTCTCTTCCTTAGTAATTTAGAAATCTTGAAATCAAAAAGATTTTGTGTTTGTGTGTAGGGAACTAAAATGAGAAGACTTTGCAGTCTTTCAGCACAATCCATCAAGTACCAGTTTCTTCAAAGCAATGATATTTTACTGATCTCTTTCTTGAAGGCTGCAGTTGCATCTTTATTACCCTTCATTGTTATCAGTGAAGAAAAATGCCATAGCTATGTTTGAGGCAAAAGAAATTCCTTCTGTGAGAGGCAACAATTTCCAGCAGATCCTGAACACTTTTGTGCTTGACTTCAAGGAAGTAAAGGTGGTCAGCATTCTGTAACAAGTCTGTGTATTGTCATGTATTAGGAATATAGGGTGTTTGGGGAGGAAGGAAAGGAAGGAAAGGAAGGATTCACAGCACACACAAAGGAAAAAAAAAACAGGAGGAAAAATGACACTCTGAAAAACTACTAATAGGATAATAGGAGTAAATTTGTGTGAGGGTCAGAACCATGCAAATCCACTAAGTATTGCATACGTATGTCATCCTAGAGCAGCACTGGCCAGGCTGCCTATTGTTGATGATTTCTACCTGCTTTGCAGAAGGACAGAGAA